GACTATGAAGGCTTTCACGGCCGGTTAAATCACATTTAGGAATGTTTTCCGGGCTTTGAAGCCGTGGTCTATGGGAATTTCTTCCTGACGTTTCGACTACAACTGCGGTGGACATTATCAAAGGCGATGAGGCAGTGGGCAAAGTGATCCACAGAACATACCCCCTTAGAATGGAAACTGCACTGATAGTTTATGGAGATAAATTCAGCTGTCCACCTAGCGGTATGAGCACACAAAGTATGGGAATGTGAGGAATTTTTCCGATATTTGACTCCTAATGATTGCATTCACCAAATATATCGGGTCAATAAAAAAACCCTGTTATGTAATATTTTATTCAATACGTAGTCAATAAATCAGTTACAACCATGTTTTGTTGCTTTCGGGACTATTTGCAACAAATGTTTGTTCCTGTAATGTACCAGTGTTCCTCTTGTCCGGATATTTTCTGAAAGATGATTAATTTGCTCGGCTCTGAAACAACAATGTGAGGAATTAATTTTCTGGCATTGCCTAATCATTTGTCGCTTCAGCAAATTTACTAATTGTTTTCCTCAAATGTCAATTTTGCTTGATAAATAATGCTATTTCAAGAAATTTCAGGAAACATTGTACTCCCCATAAAAAACGTTAACAATAATTGGTACCCTAATAATTGTTAATGTCATTACAATAATTGTAATTTTCGGGAAATAATAAAATAAATCTATAGTAAAAAGAAAAGTAAAAAAAAGAAAAGTAAAAAAAAGAAAAGTAAAAAAAAGAAAAGTATCTGATAATTTAGCAGTATTCTCGGCAGTTCGCAATTCTCTTCTCTCCCAACCCATTCCTGCGCCGTGCGGCCGGTGCAGCCTGTTCGATCACAAGACAGAGGACTGCAAAAGCTCAACAAAATGCAACAAATGCTTCGGACCACACCATACAAATCAGTGCAAGTCACCGCTTCCCCTCAAGTGCGCTGCTTGCAATTCCGGGGAGCATGCAGCTTGAAGCATGAAATGCCCAAGAAGACCTACCTCCCCAATAGAAGGTATTCCAAATATTAACAAAATTAATGTACCTGTTTTGATGTAAATAAAGTTTTTTTCTCAGATAAAAAATCAAAATCAACTATAGCTTGTTCACAAAGAATTAAAAGCTACATAGGCTATTCGTTCTGTGTAAAACAACCGTTTTCTTGCCCCTATTTTAATTTTTACTTCTGTATACCTAAATAAGATTATTTATTTAAAAAACGTGAATTACAAATGTTTTGAAATTGTTTCTGTAAGTGGCATACAATTACTCATCACCTTATGAGGCGGCTATATCACGAAAACGGCAACCACGAGTGAAATTACATTCACAAGTTAAATTCACGGTTTAAAAAATCACATTCACAGACATAACAGTAACTTTAACATCACTGTTTAGTTCATCTCTACCATCAGGTAATCGGCAAGCGAACGCGTTACCGTTTTGAGGCTAGTTCTGAACATCACGCTTACAAATAGTTGAGCACTTTGGTCAAACTGTTGTCAATCAACCACATCCTAGCAAACACAAATGGTCCGTGGAACGTTCTATTTTGATCCCCGTTATCCCGCACGTGATGATCCATGGTACGATGTCCCTAGACCGTCCCTCGTATTGCACAAATATCTCATGCAGATCCCATGCGAGTCGTCCCAGAAACGTGATATTTTTTGATACCAGATACGTAATGAACAGGACGTATATGTAGTAATAGTAAATGGCACGCTCGAAAAAAACTTATACACTTTATTACACACTTAATAAAGTTTATACCATCAAATAGCCATTTCACGTAATAAAATATCCATATCACTTCTACCGATTGCCCATGCTTTTATCAGAGACAAGGGATAATTATTATTTGTCTCTGCTTTTAATGTGTCACAGTTGTTCATATGTCTTGTTAAAGACTCCAAAGAGGCGGATAACTTAGGTTAGGTTTCTATTGTCCATGTATTCGTTGTTGCACATTTTAGTTTCAGTGTTTTGATTTTCCGTACGTGTGATTGTGTTATTACAGACAAAGTAAGTAGCTAATTTATAATTTTATCACTTTCATGTTTAATCTTCGTTTATATGTATAGAAGTGTGACATAATTTCCATGCTTTCGAACGTAAATCCATGTTAGCCACCTTACAAATGGAAATTTTTAAATAAAATAAAGTATAATTTGAAAACGGTTGATTTTACAGCTTAAAGTGTTAGTGTAAATTTGTAACTTTGTAAATTGTCTATCTAATGACGTATTAATATACAGGTATTTCCATTTGAAAAACAAAATTTATATTGCGTAAGAAAGTTTTAGATTGAAGTCCACATTGTTAACACCCTGTACAATGTAGTGATATTTTGGTTCAATCGAATTCAGATCTGTCGGATTCGAATAACGGATCTGTGGTGATTGGAAAGACATATTTTTGTGTATCTCTAACTCGTTTTTTTGCTTCTACAATAAATTTTTAGATACCATGTTTTTAAGTAAAATTTTATTAAAATGGCGATAATCTGCTAACGTCGCAAGTAAGAAAAAAACAATTTGCGGTGCAAATGCAGCGTTTCAAGCTGCATTCCATGAGCTAATAAAAAATTGCTTGTTCTATTTTAAAAAAAATACACTTTAATCTTGCCTCGCTTTTCTGAGACACTCTGTATCATATAAGATATTTTAAAAATGTGCGCACTTTTGTGCACAGTTTAAACACCATCGGAAGTAATGGACTCTATCGCACTAAAAACCACCCTGTTATGTTATTGGTTCATATTTGGTTCGGTATTTGCTTCCACCCTAAATTTTCTAAATTACAACTGCCGTCAACGTTTTTAGAAAGTGTTTTTTACTTTATCCATATTTGTTCCTAGTAATAATTTGACGGTTGACTATTAGCCCAAAAACGTTTCACAGATGTTCTCTAAACAACCAGTCTATAATCCCAGTAATGTCCCAAATGACTTTCACAGGATCATCCCATACATGACCCGAACAGTCCCAAATGACTTTTACAGGATCATCCCATACATGGCCCGAACAGTCCCAAAAGTATAACCCATGGACGTCCCACGTACATATAGGGAAGTACCGGGACGTCCCAGGGACTTAGACCTATATGCTGTAGTGACTTCCGTGGGACGTCTCAGGGACCGAGGTGTGTGTGCTAGGTTTGAGAACACAATCTAAGTAATAAATGCGAGTCAAATTTTGGAATGCCACATTTATTTAGTAAATAACAAACGTTAAAGCTTTTTTTCCTGCTGAATCAATAAGCCACTTTCTAGCCAATCACGGTCTCATTGTATGGATGCAGCTGATGATAAGACCGGAAAATGGATACCAACGAATCCAGTGTCTCCAAGCTAGTTGGGATAATTTGATTTGCTGGCAAAAGGAAGCCATTTTGCCCTCTGTCGCGAAGTTCATATGTGTAGGCTATGGGCGTTTTAAACTTGTCTTTGACATAATCCATACTACCCCCCGTTGCAACGTCTGAAAATTAATAACATCGTTGACAATAACAAATCAATAATATCAATAATAAATTTATCATCTCTAAATAAACTTACAAATGGTTTCTGCAATATTTCCTATAACGTATTGGGTTCCGTATCTGACTGAAAGGTCTGCAATAGCCTGTGTTCCAATTCTCAGCTGAAATTATTTGCTCGTGTAGTTATTTCAAATGTGGTATTATACATAACATGAACATTTATCTAATATTGAAGTAAGAAAATTCCGGAAATTTGTCTACAATTTGCATTTTATCAATTAAAACCTGTGCAATTATATAAATACAAAAAGATATATTAAAAATTTATAAATATTGGCTTTATCGAATAAATATGTTTATACCATCTCTGGCAAGGTGTCTTGGGATGATAAAAGTGGGTAATGAAAAAAAGGATGTGTCAACTGCTATAGTTTCGAAGATCCCTGTTCTGGTCATCCGAAAAAAAAACTCACCCTGTATATATAGGGTGATTTACCTAGGTCGTGCATTAGAAGTTTTCCAACTTGCAGTTGTTTTAAAAACTTCGAATTTCGTAAAACCATGTAAAATACATTTAGCCCTGTAGCTATACAGAGTGTACGAAAACTATAACCTAACTTTCATATTTTAAATACAAATCCCCAATTTTTTTGAATGGTTGGATTGGCATTCGGATTGCGTGTTTATGTAACTCTAGTTTCGTTAACTCATCTCTTATAGTTTTTTTTTTATATAGAGGGTGATTCAAGATTGTCGTAATTCCTTTGTCTTATGAGAGTACAGGAAAAATGATGTCGAGGTCTTATGAGAGTACAGGAAAAATAGTTAAAAAATAATTCGTATTAAAAACTGAGATATTTGCAAAAAACTAGATCAGAAAGATGGCAACAATGTTTTTCAAGGGAATATGCCTAATTATTAATACGTAGATACCTGTTGCTTTCTAATTATTACAAATTGTAGTAACCAGAAAACAAAGAAAGCAACAACGAAGAAAGAAGTACTTTGAGTTTAGGATAAATTTGCCACAGAACAGGAATTTGTTACTTTGCCCAGGGATGTTCTGTGTACTTTGCCGTCAGTGCTGTTAAAGGGTATGTGTCAATGATCAATATCGATCAACTAAAATACAATTAATTTGTTAAATCACAGGAGAAGTTCGATGTTCTATCTGTTTAACTCCACATATGTTTGTGTCCCAATAACTTTATCGTGCACTCCTGGCAGCAGTCTGGACCCACATTTTGAGCAGCTTCTCATATTCCGCTAATATCCTGCTCAATTTGTACCGGTGTTCGGAAGATCAGAGATTTAATGTGTTATAGTGTCCTATGCATCTTACATACTTGGTCAGAATGTAGGCCCTTCCTCGGGGGAGTGAAATGTGTGTGAATTTGGATGGTGTGAACAGGATTTGACTGTTCTTCTGGGGGGATAATTATTCATGAGGACACTAATTTTTGCAGGATGGCCGAATGTAAGCAACCTCAGAAACCGTAAGAACAACGGCGGAATTGCAATATTGGAAGGCGGGACCAGAACCGGATACTCAGTGATGAATGACGAATTGATTGAAATTTGTTCGAGGCCTAGTCAAATTGCAGAATCTTGCATCTWTCATTTAGTGGCATTTGGCTTAAATATRGATCAGTATATTAGAATATGACACTTACCATTTCATCGTAGTTGTCCAAATGTGCAGTGGTGTGTCCATAAGGCAGCAACAACATTTGAGAGAATGAGTGTAAACTGATGTAAGCAAGCAAGTTTGGTCCAACAGTATCGATGAAAAAAGCCAGGCTGGACGTTGAAGTTTCCGACAGTGGATTCGGTCCAGCATAAGTATCAGAGCAGGCTTGGTTAGATGCCCCACCTTGCATCCATTGGTAAGGCCAGTTGCGATTGGGGTCGGCTCCAAAGCACAGGAACGTGTAAGGTGTACGTGTTTTTCTCCATAATCGATTCTAAAAACAAACTTTTGTCAATATACTTAAAAATAAGTATTGTTATGTTAAATAGTAGTTGTGACTGACATATTGACAAACGTAATAAAAATAAATCACACAAATAATCAAGTAGAAACAGGATAAAAGAAGTAATTAGAACGGCCGGATTTCATCTGAGAGAACCCGTTTTTTATTTGTTGAGAGTATTTGCCAAAAAATTTTCTGCCGAAGATACGAGCATGTTACTCGAATACGTAGTACAGGTTAACTCCAAGACATTTTGGAACGATTGGAGACTGATTTCTAGGGCTCACAGGCTAATCAAAGAACTTAAAGAATCAAACCCAATAGAAAAGGAGATGTGGACCCAATATCTCACGGATCTGTGCAAAAAGACAGAACACATGATTGAACTGAACACACCAGCTATGATAACAAACCAAATAATGCAAATAGAGGAATCCCACGTCAAATTTCACTAAATTTACTAAACTAAGAATAGGAAAAGCCCGGACATGAACGAGATAACAAATGAAGATGATGAGACATCATTTGAGTTGAAAGCGATTGTAGTCACCAGCACCTCATCTTCTTCATCAGCAGTATCACTGGTGGTGCGGCACTCGAATTTTTTTTCTGCTTCAATTTCAGCAGAAATTAAATCGGCATCCAAAAATATGATTTTAGTTAAAGTATAAACTCCTGTATCTCGGAATCCATTGACGGAAGTTTCTCTAGACTGGCATTTTAAATAGGCTCTTCTCATTAGCTTGACACATCCAATGTACTCAGAGGGCGGTTCATGTCGCGTAACCAGACCCTAATGCGTTGAGCCATGGGAGCGTTTAAGGCGTACTAGCGCCTTAAACGCTCCCATAAAAGTTTTGTTCAACGGCTGGAGTTTGTGGGTAGAATGGAGAAGCAGGACAATTATAGTTGCATCATTAGCTCTTTCTATATCTGTGATCTCTATATTGCGGGTATGGCTGTAGTGACCAGCCAAAATCAACAGGACTGGTGACTCTTTCTTACGTTTAACTGTGTCAGTTTGTATGTACTGCCATATTGGAACCTGGGGATCTCCTTTCATCAATTGTTGATTTATGTTTCGGCGAGCAAATATCATCATTGGTAGGATTAATTGGCCAGCAGCGCTCGTCTATGCTACAAGAGTTATAGGGATTCTCATTCAGCAGAAGTTCATGATGCTATTTATCGTTTTCCTTTTCGGCCAACAACTTGTGCAATCTTGTATTGCACAACCGTTAGAACACGTCTCATGAACATTGATTGAATTTGTTCAGGGGATAAAACGTTTTGTTGTATTGTTCTCCCAGGCCATTAAAAAACTATGCAACATTTTTCTTGTTGAAGAATCTCGCGGGAGTAAATGACGTTCCTGTTGATCGTCGTGCTGCCTCAACCAGGCTTTGCGCGCCATGTTGCCTTCAAATGCATGTCTGATATGGTTCCTGGTAGCTAAAGTGTATGCCATCCTCCTAACGCTCTTTCTTGTTAATCCATGAAATTTTACTTCCATATCCAAAATATGACAAACTAACGCAAGCTGGGCTCTAAATGATGTCCTGCTTTAAACTGTGCTGTATTCCAATTTATAAGCGCAACACATGTCGTACTACCAGGGGTGTAAGGGGTGATGGGCTGTAATGGATGATGGGCGACTTTAGGCCTGGGTAATACTGTGTCTTAAGTCATTTGTGTATTGAGGCCGCTTTGTGTGTCCAAAACCTGGCCTCCTACGACGCGGCACGTTGAACAACACTTAACATTTAATCTCATTCAAGATAGCAGACTTCGGATTGCAGTTCGTGAAAGCCACGCTCTGTTACCCATCTGCTCTCTAACCCTCTCCAGAGGCATGATTTTAGGTATTTTTGTAGATGTCGCTGTGACAACATCTGAAAATCCACTGTGTTACCCAGGCCTAGGCGAACCAACCGACAACGTCACCTGCACGTAGTGCACCCTGCTAGACAAGCAACGAGACTTTGTCTACCGAATGATTACCGAACGGCTACAGGTGGAAGGGTTGACAAAGGCAAGGGCTCTATTGTCCTAGGGTTGAGAACTCGACCCCAAAGGTGGAGGAATTATAAATAAGTAATCAACTGTATACGGATGTGGGGAGACACGGTAGGACTACCACATTAAAGATCCCTGCGAATATCCCTAGTAGAATCATCATGGCATCAAGGACCAAGAATGTTTATGATTAGTTTACTGATCATGGGGGTCGAAACCCAAGGTTCGACAGGAGAGGAAACGACAAAGACTCTCAAATCGTTATCCAGCGCAACTCTTGTAAAACAATTGGAGCACACAAAAAATAAAGTTAGTCAATAAAAGAATTGGCACGTGGAACGTCCAAAGTATGTACCAACCTGGCAAAATACATAATGTACTTCTAAAAATGCAAAAATTAAATATCAGTATATTGGGTATATGAGAAACAAGGCGGCCTAACTCAGGTAACTGTTCGATAGACAACAACGTAAGATCTGGAAACAATAGACGTGGCAATCATTTTAGATAAAGAAACCATCAAAGCAGTGGAGGGTTTCGTCCCAGTCTCGGAAAGAGTAAAAATCTTACAAATAAAGAGATCGCATCCCACACCAAACTGAATTTGATCCAAGTAAATGCTCGTACGATGGAAGGAACTGAAGACGAGATGGCACCTTTCTATCAACATATTGAACACGCCTAAAAATAATTAAGAATCGAGAAATCACCATGGTCATGGGGACCTGAATTCAAAGAGGGACAAAGGAAAGACTGGAAATTTTGTGGCAGACTACGGGTTTGGAGAACCTAATGAAAGAGGATATAGACTAATGCAATTCTGCCAGAAACAGGAACTAACAATATCAAACACATTCTTTACCCTACCGGAAAGGCGGTTATTTGCTTGGCGTTCACCCGCGGATAAACCAGACAAAATAGTTAGAAACCAGATAGACCGTCATGATTAAAGAAAGATACCGCAATGTCATCAAGGCAGTGAAAACATACCCTGGAGCAGACGTCTCTTCTGATCACAACGCAGTAATAGCTAAGGTAACAATTGCACTTAAAAGTGTTGAGAGCCATCATTAAATTAGAAGTAAGAAAACTGATATAAGAAAACATCTCCAACACAAAATAAATCAGAGTGGACTTAGATAAGGTTCAACAAACATAAACATATTAAGAAAGAACGAACTATTGAGGAACTTGGTCGAGGACGAGTCAGGCATACTAGAACACATAGTTCCCGACACAAAAGAGACAAGCCCAGAAATCACCAAGGAAGAAGTTTGTTGAAAAAGTGTGGTTTCTGAACTTTGACTGATTTGTTTTGCTTCATTTTCTTCTAACAAACGATCTATTTTGCAGTTTCACTTAGAAATACTGACGATCTGGTGGTCTTTAACGCGAAAAATTATAAGAAACATTTTCAATTTACTTTTAATTTACCGTCGTGAGACAGGTTAGTTTTACCCTCCTGATGACTTGTCGTTGCGATAGTAATCCTGCTCAGTACGAGAGGAACCGCAGGTTCGGACATTTGGTTCACGCACTAGCTCGAGCGGGCTATGGTGCGAAGCTACCATCCGTTGGTTTATGCCTGAACGCCTCTAAGGCCGTATCCTTTCTAGTCAAAGAAGGTGACGATATTTCTTGGAGTTCCGAGGGTCGAAAGGCTCAAAACAATGTGACTTTACTAGGCGGTCGACGTTCGCGTCGATCGTCGCACGAGCCCTAGTTGCCGCGTGGGGTAATCGATTGGCGACAGGATTTATCTTGCCAGTCAATTTATTAATTTTAATTTTTTTACCGAAAGTAATTAAGATTATTTTGAAAAAAAAACGACAACAGAGCGAAAGTTATTACAACAAATATATCGCTCTCATCGCTCTCAAAATTTTTAAAGTCTCTTTCAAATTTCAGGTCATTTCAGTTTTAACAAAGTTTCTAAGCAATTCTTTCTTCGCAAAAATCGCATTATTTTTTAGTTTTACTTAAAACACTGAAAATCTAGGTATTTTATGTGAAAAATTATAAGATAAACTTTAATCGAACACTCGCCTCCTTAACCGCTTTGCCAGACTTTTTGGAAAACTTTTTGCAGCTTCGAATTATCGACAAAACCCTGATAATTAATTCTGGGTGTTTTTCCAAAAATCTTTTCTCGAATTGAAGAAGCGAAAGTTGATAATTATTTGTTTGGAAAACTCTTGGAAACTGAGGTTTCTTCACTTTTATGACAATATTTCTAAACAACAAAAAGGAAAACAACGTTTCGGCCAAAGTTTTACTGTAAAATACTGGAAAACTGAATCTTTTATACAAAAAATGAAGCGATCGATTTTACAAGAAAACTCGTCGACTTTCCTTGGACTCAGTTCTGTTGAGAAAATCTAGATGACTTTTGTTTAGTTGTTTGGATAAAGTAGTGAAACGTTACTCAGAAAAAATGTTGTTGACCTTTTCTTTTAGCTGTGAAAATTCCAGTCTCGGGTCTCGTAAAGTTTTAATAAATAACTTATAATTCATTAACCGATGAGTTATAACCCGTTAACTCAGAGAGCGGCAACAGCTCAATAACGCAACTCAACGCAATGTTACCCAGGCCTACAATGCTCTCAGGAATATGGGCTAACAATAAAAGTAAAAAAAAACAAATCAGAACAATAGGGAGAACCTAACAATTAACAACAAGACTTTTAGACAGGTGATTAACTACAGATATCTGTTACAACAGCTCTCCCAACGATTACTCTACAACAACATATTTTAATAATCTGGGAAGAGTGCTCGATAGACGGGATTTGAAGCTGGATCTGAGAATCAGAATAGGTGCCATGTCTTTTCGACCTTGCTTTATGGAATGGAGGCCGGCACCCTAAACGCAGCAACTGTAATTGAAGTCTTTTGAGATGTGGTGAATAGAAGAAAATTAAAAACATCTTTTACCAGACACGTGACAAACTACAAAGTCATGAGATAGCGGATGAGCTCTGCATGCTGAGATTATGAAGAATCCCATGCGCGAACTTGGTATTTCTGGAGAGTAACGCTGCTGTATAATCTTTATGCTATGGTACTGTTATGTTAAGACGGTAGACGTGACATCCGGGGGAGTCGGTTTTTCGGCATTAAATGTAATGCGTACATTAGGATGTAGAAGCTAGGCGTAGGATTAATTCCATCTTGACTAAATAGTCAGTAAAGTAGATTAACTCAAATCCCGACTCTACAAGAAACTAATAAACGGTACTTACGTTGTCATGGGAATGCACGAAACCATCAGGATTCACGACGGGAAATATATACCACACGTAGGCTTCCGCAATTCGACGCACTGCAGGATCTTGACTCACAACGAGCTCGTTGAGTATATAAGTAGCCACAGCAGATGTAATCCTATAATAGACAGTAAAATAGTGCAATCTGTAAATATTATATAAAACTTGGTTCTCTAGTCAGCTAACGTAACAGCAGTGCATGTTGTTAGATAGTTATTGACCTTTTTCTAGCACTAACCGCACTTCTCATTTAACTCGTAACACCTGGGTAAACGTTAATGGCACATTCCGCTAATCTGTTCCTCGTTTCCACATTACAATGAAGGTGACAGGAGGAAATGTGGTTCTACAATCGTTTTGCCGATAGCTTAAGCAATATAACTAGAATTAGACTTAATTAATTGTTTAAACCCACTTGCAAAAATATCAATTGCACTTGCACATCAACTCACATTGAACGAGAATAAAAATTGAAACTTTTAAGCGACGAATTGAATTTATAAAATGTTTCACAAACAACGAGTTTTTGTAAAAAGGCGAAAGTTTACTTCATCTCTAAGCCTGAAAATGTTCGAAATTAGCCAGTACTACCAAGATAGTAAAATAGCGATTGAAAGTTGTCTGGCTAGACCAAAATACCACAATACAACTATCAAAAGAGATAGACTTTCTAGGCCAACCTTTGAAACTAATGGGTTTTTCGGGTTTTTAGGCGGTCGTTCGGTAGAATTTCTTCTTGACGTTTCGCAAGCACGAGTGGCTTGCTTGAACGCTTACACTGTTCTGATGGTGACCACCTATCAGTTTAGTCTAGAATCGATGATAACGCCAAGATGTTTGAGAGATTTAGAAAGTGGGATTTCGGTGTTGTTGAGCATTAGTTTGGGTGTGTTAGTGGGAGGTACTGGTTCAACTACTGGATCGCCTGTCGTATTTATGCGGTCCGGCCGTGTGAGCTCATGCGTGAAGAGTGGGCGGCGCTTCAATGGTTTTGGCGCACACGCTGTTTGCCGCAAAAC